TATGCCCGTAGTCAGCATCTGAGAATTGTATGTATATTCAGATGAGTAAGGGGTGCTGTAAGGATTGAATGGCTGTTGTTGAGTATTCGAAATTTCAGGGTTCGCTGAAACAGTGAATTCGCCAGGCGGAAGTACGGGAGAGTAAGTGAAGCCAGAACCAGGTTGAGGGTAAATATTCGTTGGGTACGTCGGTTGATTCGGCATTCCAGGCCCTCCTCCGGGAAGGAGAGGGCCAATAAAATCTGCAGAAGTAACAATTTTTTAAGGCTGATTTCAGTATCTGTTTAGTATTACTAGTATTGGGATATCCGCATAAGTTATTGAGACTATTATAAACGGAATTCGGCGGGCAGTACCCTGGAGTCCAAGTTCCACAGCTGTTCGCCGAAGGAATACAGTAAAAGTAGCTATTAACGTTGTATGGGTTTGCCACCATTGGAGAAAACAGTGGATTGCACATCTGGCCTGCTCGAGGAATCATGTTGTTGAACGGTAAAACTAGAAGTTATTTCTGCGTCAAATAAATCCGGAAAAACTATCTCCAACTTACTTCCGGTGCATGAATTTGGCATGTAAATGGGACTGGAATAGCCGCAAGATTGAGTTCCTTGACTACAAGGTGACAGCCGCACGATCTGCGTGTAAGGACATATGCATATAGTCTGCGTGCATGGACATGAAACTTGAGGAGAGCACGACACATAGTACTAAATTCACATTCAGGTTAATATAACGTGAAAAATTATTTCGTTGCAATGTACCTGGGCAGTTACATAAGATTTCTTCTTGGTCTTGAAAACTGCTTCGGGCTGACACACTCGTAACGCAGTGTTGAACTTTTTACCGCTGTCGCATTTTCGTAGCATCCACTTCCCTTTGTCTACCCTGAAACATAAAGTTTAAATGCTAACGGGCTTATCGCTTCAGCATGGGAAGGAAAAGAACCATATACTATGAGATTCCGTGAAAAAGGTGTTATAAGCCTGTGTTCCAATTTCCAAGTCTACTCAAAATATCGACCATTTCTAGAGTATTAAAAACACTGTACCTCTTCAAGAATCTGTCTTTTCTTAATCAGGAGGTGTTCTCATCTGATTAGTACCTACTCTGATAGATTCAGGTATTCTGATTTTAGTAATTACTAACAGATCACACACTTTTTTTATCCCATTGTTCTGCAGCCGCAAATGGTCAGACATCTGGAATGGTCGAATTGCGCACGCAGGTTCTAATTCACGCCTCATCCGCTCATCTTACTTTGCTACTTGAACATCGTTAATTGATCTCCATCTTAGCCATATCGCGTTCTGCACATGCTGTAATATAAGTCACAACGATGGTTCGCAGCGAAACAATGTTACGTCACTGAATATTCGACCGCTATTTAATTATCGCATTACAATACCAAAAGATGGGGAACGTACCATGGCCAGTCTTCACGGTTTGCGTCCTGTTTGACACAATCGACATATTTTTCTGAATCGGCGTATGGGTGACTTGGCTGTCCTAATTGGCACAGATCTCCAATCGTCACACTGTAACCACGAGTAGTGTTGTACGCGAGACCTGCTCAAAATTTACGAAGCATACATTAAATAGTACAGGTTAGTATACCGTTTTCGAGGGAATGTGCCAACTGGTGCAGGTAGAGGACGGTGAAGAGCACCGGCAACCGTATCTGTGCGGATCGCATGTCTAATTCCCTGAAACACTACCACCCGTCGTCAACGTGTTATTTCGGCAGGTTTTCTGGGTACCGAGTGACTGCCAGGGTGATCAGCAATTTATGTCATTTCATTGCAGCGCTGAATCCAGTCCTGACTAAAAATAACCACTCTCTCAACAGTTCACGTAAGAGCAGGTACCGGTGAGGCTAACGTTTACCTTCCCTACTAGCTAGTTTTCTGCGACGTATTTGATCTAGAGGTAACGCTAAGTCTACAAATCAACTTTCGGTGCACTTTTTCACGCCTACAAATACTTCTTTCGTCATTGCGAAGCTTTTGCCAGCGCCTTTCGTCGGCTTTTCTTGTGGGTCGTTCTGCTGTCACAAAGGAGACGGACACGCCGTCGGAACGACTGTAGTGCATCGAGCAGCTAACTCACATACTCATACTTCATACTCACATACTTCATACGGACGACGCAAAGCCACAGTCGAACTCGTGCAACTGGTTCTTCTTTCTTGTAACGAATGCGGAGTACCGGGCGCACGTTTCGCAGAGCGCTGTTTCACCACCACTGCAGCACACGATTATGGTAGACAGCACGGCCGGCAATCGTTGTTACCTACTCTTGTTTAACAAGGTCCGTGCCGTCGCAGCCATGTCTGAAACGCATTCGGTACTACATCAATGGTGTTAATAGTCGGTGTGCGCAAACCTGACGACAATTGTTTGCTGCTGAGGAAACTAAACTCAGGAATAATTATTTGTATACAGAATATTGGGCAATATGCTGTGACGAGCTAACTTTGGTCCGTGTTGCATATTCAACAAGGTGATCACACAACATGGCTACCGCATATTCCAGTGCAAGATTTCTCCTTGACTGTACATCTACTTAAACCCTTTCATTTCTCGCTTCTCTGTCCGCTTACCCCGGATCTGCAGTAGTTGTGCTAAACAGTAA